TATATATATATATAAACCACAGGTTTAGCTATAATAATTTTCTTATCAAGAATTGCCACATTTATTCTAAATTTATTTTTATAATTATAATTAAAAAAGTTTAATCGTGTTGTGTTTTGACCTTTATAGAACTTGCAATATAAATCCTCATTGTTGCTTATCCTGCTCAATATTCTCATTCATTTCAGATACTAAAAGATACTTAAAATATTAAAAGATTTACATTATTATGTTACTTCCCAGTAAACGAGAATGGATTGAAATTTTTTTCTATCCGAATGCGTATTTTAAATAGCGAATACTATTTTGGATTTAATTGGATTCAATTGGATTCAGTTGGATGCAATTAGATTGAAAAACTACACTTCCTATTCAAAATTTTGAATTGAACAGTATTCAGATGTGTGTTGTGCACAGAAAAAGCTAATATTATTGAAAGGTATACAGACATGCAATTCCTATAAATGAATAAAAATACATTCAGGATTGAAAAGCATTCATTTTAACATTCGTAAATCAATATTTCTGAAAATCTGAATCCATTTCAATTCATTTCAATCCATTCTCATTTGCTAAGTCCCTCTTTTCAGTTCTTTGATTTATAAGGAATCTTGGTTAATTTGATTTGTTATACGGATTTATGCATTTGATTTTATCTACTTTTATACAATATTTCTGTGGAAGGTTGAGAGAGTTGGAGGTGTCTTATATATCTATGTTACTGTTACATTTTTTATCCCGTGTTAAAGTCAACACTTTCTATAGAGGCCTTAAGGGCCTCTCCACCTCGTTCGGATAGCTCTGTGATGTTATCACAAATAGGCTGAGCGCGCAGAGTGTCTTTCAGTGTTACGTATCTCGTGAGAAAATCTCAGTAAGTGATTGATAGTTCTTTGGAATCTTTTTTATAATTTATTGTTCACGAATGTTCTTGAGATGAATTTATGTCTCATTAATTTATCGAACCATAAAAAATAATTTAAAAGTTGCACAAATATGTTTGACTATAGGTTATGTTTTGGTTATTTCAACAATCTTTTTTTATTAAAATCTTATTAATTTACAGAATGCCGTTCAAATGCTGCGTTCCGAATTGTAATGGTAATTACAAAAATGATCCAAACATTCGCAACATTTTCGTTTCCAAAAAATGAAGAGATAAAATGAAAATGATTACAATGGAAAATGATCATATGCCATCTGCAGAAAGGACTTCCAGTCAACAAATAATTCAAAAGTAATCAATTATTAACTAATTTCTTCTTAAATTAATTTCTAAGATTTAGTGTAGTAAAATATATCTTTAGAATCGATATAATAACCAGGATCCATTTAAAAAAAAGTTTATTCTTTACATCTTTCCTCTATATTTCCGGTTATCCGAAGTTGAATGGAAAACTAACCACTACGTTGAATCAAACTTGCAAACGATTAACTGCACCATTGACATGATTGACCAAAGGTAAATGTTATGTCATTTTACCTTGTTTTTATAATGCAAGTATTAGTTATTCCAAAATGGTTTTGCATATATTTTTTTTTGTTACACTACACTGTTGGGCTTAATTTTCAAAATGATAATTAAGATTTAAATGTTTTTCTTAAATGTGTGTTACAATAAGTTTCTACTTTCTATGTCGAATCTCCCAAATGTCAAATCAATTGTCCAAATTTTTTCAAAAAATTAGTTTTCTAGTACAATTCTCATACAATTTTTAATTAAAAACAGAATTATGAATATTGTGTGTATTAAAAGCGTCAATTCAAATTCAGTATTCCTTACAACAAAGCAACAAGATTGTCTTTTCTCAATTGCAATTATATATTTGTACAGATGCTGTCCCAAGTCAGTTTCCAAATTGCCCTCATTACATGACCCCTAAGCGACTAGTTCCAGAAACAAAGCGAATGAAATTAGAGTATATGATTGAGCAAGCTATTGCTGGCAGTATCGAAACGGAGCAAGTGTTTAACGAAAAAATTGGATTTTCTAGTCTCGACGAACTCTACACGAAGATAAAAGAACGCATCGATCTGCAAAAGTGGATTGTTTCATGCAGGGACAACATTTTTTATATACTTCACATTGAAAATATTTCATACCCGAATGTGAAATGTGTGCGAGTGTCAGAAGATTTCACTTTAAGATTGTTTTATGGATCGCGGGAGGTGACAAAACTAAACGACAAGAAATATAATTTTCCGTTCATCGTGAGTTCGGTTCTTTGAATTCGAAAACCGAACTCTATTGAACGTTGATATCGTTGGACAAAAAAAAATAAAATTCAAGCAATGGAGAACATTAATGTTTGCATCGATATTTTGAATTCTTTGTTGATAATATTACTGCAGCGAAAACCTGTTATGAAGTTCTTGTTGCAGCAGATAAAAATCTTGAATACTTTGAATAAAAGTGCCTTTCGATATTTATGGGAAACAATCTTGTTTTATAGATTACTGCATTCGATTTCTCCACACGCGTACAAATTTCTTTGCAATTCAAGACGTTAATTGCTATCATTCTCAACGACAATAAAAAGAATATGCAGAACTTCTCCAGTAATCCTCAGGTGGAACAAAATGAATCAACGTTGCCTCTGTATATGACGTCGAAATTTAGATTGCTTCGCGATGAAGATAAAACGATAACTCTATGATGACGAAATTCATATAAAACCATATATGGATTATAAAGGCGAAAATATTGTCGGGAAAGCTTTTAATAGTGGAGATTGTACAAGTGCTCACGTTTCATGGTGAACAGTTTATTATCAACGTACTGCGATATCTTGCCTGTAAAAACATTGTATGAGTACTGCAAAGTTTTTTTAACAGTGAATAAAACCACAGCGTTTTTTAATATACGCGAATAATCGAGGAGGATTATGTTATCCACACAAAGACATTCTGACATGTGCAGCATAGTTATCATTAGTTATCATTCAAAAATTACTCGAAAACAAGCGTGAATTTCTGAATCAACCAAATCAGCGCGAAAATTATGAAAATTTATCTATTTCAAAGTTTATCTTACTTGAATTTTGAACTATTTTTAGGTCACTGTTGTCCGAAACATGCAATACGAAATGTAATAATTAAAATATCACATACACTCTTGAATACTTTTTTAAATAATTATACCAAACTACAAAACGATTTTGTGAAACAAAAACAAATGCCGAACTTTAAAAGAATAAAACCAAAAACAAAATAAAAGATTTTTTACGAATTATATTATTTTTTTTTAATTTAATCCCTTTATTACCCATTTCTTTATTAGCCTGATTAATAACTAAAATATTTGTGTATCTTGATAAAAAAACGTGAAAAAAAACTTTACTTGACATGCAATTTGTATATTACCGCCATATAGCGCGTACGCTATTCGGCGGCCAAGCCTCGACCTACTAATGATGACGTCACAATTTTCAGTGGAAAGGTCTTGTCTATAGGAGGTGTTGGTCAAGTTCGAGACAAGACGTCGGTCACATAAAGGAAGAAAGGGAGAAGAACTGGGGTTGTCTGCAATTGTTAATCACCTCTGCTTCAGGTGATTCTGTAAAAAAGATATGAATTTTGCTCTTCTATAGCGTCGACGGGCATACACCCGAAAAAATGAAAATGCCCATTCGATAATCAAAGATTACAGCGCAAATATCACGACTCGTCTGAGACTCACTTCCTTCGACTGGTATGTTTATCAGCGGTGTATCACATATATAGGTTAGAAGTATGAAGAACTTGATCAGTATTTTGAAGATACTTTTCCTGAATCACGCGCGTGGACTGTCCTACACTGTGACAATGACGCTCTTGCTATGCTATTGTCTTCATCCGGCACGATTCGCTTCTCATTACACCTTTATCAAGACGGAAAATATCTATGGCGAAATGGAGAGATCATATCCATCGAGGGACAATTCCTGTGTGATTTCCGTTAGTGGTAAACGGTTCTCCCAGTTATTCTATCCGAAGGAGCATCCCAGGGAGAATCCAGTGGTGATGGCACGTCGGCTCGGTATTTTACCAGGCGGCCAGTGGAAACCACTTAATTGCCATCCCCTCTTCAATGTGGCTATTATACTGCCCTATCGCAACCGACAGAGTCAGCTTGCCATTTTTATGAATTATATACATCCCTTCCTGCAGTCACAGAATCTGGATTATCGGATATTTGTAATCGAGCAGAGTCCAATGCGCGAGTTCAATCGTGCTAAGCTTTTCAATGTTGGTTACGCCGAGGCCACCAAGATCAATGATTTCCACTGTTTTATTTTCCAAGATATTGACTTGATACCACAGAATCCTGATAATATCTACGCATGCACTAAAATGCCTAGACATATGAGCTCCAGTGTAAATACTTTTCGATACAATCTACCTTATACTGGCCTGTTTGGAGGCGCGATAGCATTAACGAGGAAGCAATTTGAAAGAGTAAATGGATTTTCCAATGTGTTCTATGGTTGGGGTGGAGAAGATGATGATTTCTACAGCCGTTTACAATCCAGAGGTTTTCAGGTTTCGTCAATTTAAATCAGTGTCAATGTTTATTTTTTCAAGTAATTCAAGTTATATAATTGGTTTTGTTCTACAGGTCATACGCTTTGGACCTGATGTAGCACAGTATTATATGTTGACACATAAGAAGGAATCTCCCAGTACTACGAGATTCGCAAATTTGGAAAGCGGTGCTCGAAGATATGATACTGATGGACTGAGCAACCTAGAATACAGAGTATTAAATCATCAGTTGCGACCATTATATTCTTGGATTTTAGCTGATGTGTAATTTACAAGTATTTTTTTATTTAATATTATCATATATATATATATATA